ATCACCCTGATATTCTGTAAGGTTTCAAGGATTTCAGATCTTTTCTTCCTCCCCCTCCCCCCTTGGGAAGAGGAGCAGCATGTTTTGTCAGGAGCCACAGCAAGGGCAACAGTCATTGTGTGGAGTATTGCTCAGGAAGAATCATTTAGTTGTTCATCAAACATGTTGGTGTGTTCTGTATACTTGGCATCATGCCAAATGTATGGGATGCAGAGATTCAAGTCATTATTGTTAAAAAAAAAAAAAAAAAAAAAAAAGTCCTTTCCTTGATGGAGAGGGGACCAAAACTGGAGGACTTCATTTTAAAGAGAGAATATAGCCGAAACCGGTTTGGCTCAGTGGATAGAGCATTGGCCTGCGGACTGAAGGGTCCCAGGTTCGATTCTGGTCAAGGACATGTACCTTGATTGTGGGCACATCCCCAGTAGGGGATGTGCAAGAGGCAGCTGATCGATGATTCTCATCCATGTTTCTAACTCTCTATCCCTCTCTCTCCCTCTATGTAAAAAAATAAATAAATAAATAAATAAAATAAAAAATCAATAAAATATATTTTAAAATAATAAAATAAAGAGAGAATACCGGGAGAGAACCCCTATTGGGGTACCTGCCGTGCACAGTCACGTGCCTAGACACATTATTTATCTTGTCACATTAAGTATCTTGGAAAGTGAAGAGAAATCACATAACTTCCCAAGATTCTTTCTCCCTGTATGTTACAAATTACGGGTGAGTGTTGTTTAAATCATTCCTTTTAGAAATCTGTTTAGTTTGCCCATATTCCTTCCAGTGATTAAAAGTTACTGCTATTTAGGTTCAGCATTACTGATCTTTGCATGTCTTAGTTGGGAGAAGATGGATGACAAAGAAATGGCTAAATAGACAAAAGGTTTTGTGTTTACCAGGAGAAAAGAGCCTTCACAAGGTTGGCAATCAAGTATCTTGGATTAGGTTGCAATCTATTTCTATATATCTATAAGTCTATACCTCTACCTCTACCTCTACATCTATCATCTATCAATGTGGTGGACTACACGCTGTTATTTAAAAAGTGAAATTTGGGAGAATTTGGCTCATTGTTTATTTTGAATTCACCGTTGAGGAAAACCATTAGCATGTGTATGCCTTCACTCTTCTAGGCTCTAATTGGGAAGCTGCCAAGTGCCTAAACCCTTCAAGAAACTGTCACAGTCCTTAGCTGAGAATATGAAATTCACTATGCAAATCTTACTCCAGGAAACATGAAATAATGATTATTTTAATATTGTACCTGAATGCATGAAATTTCACTATGCATTGTGAGGGAATAAAAAGTTAGTTTGAGGCAAGAAACATGACTATTTAAATTGAAATGTATGTTCTATTTTGAACCGCGTCTAGCACAGTCAGTGATGGACCTGAGGGGGTGGGGAGTGCACAGTGAAGGGTTAAAGAAAACAGACAAGAGAATATAGCTGGGGCCAGGTGGGGCACTGTTCTCAGGTGGAGAGACAGTGCCACAACCTGTAAGCCGAGTCTTTATTTTATAGTCAGATCCCACAAGGCAAAGCAAGGACGTGGTCAAGATGTTTACAATGTTCTTGAGAGTTTCGAATCTACTTCATCACATGCACCTGAGAACTCTATCAAGCTTTGTTTTGGCAGCACTTGCTGCACCTCCTGCAGCCTATATCACTCAGCCACCTGGGCCCAGGGGTTCAGACCATAAGGTCAAGCTTACAACCATAGCCTTTAGCTATAATTGTGCTGAGAGGGCTTTGCCCTCAAAGCTGGGACCTGCACCTAGCTTTGCCAGGAGAGCACAATGCCCTCTCATCAGTACAAGGATTGAACCTGTCCAAACGCTGTAGCGGCTGCTCTCCACACTATTTGCGAATTTAAATTGTGTGTGTGATTTATTAATTTTTCTGCACCAATATTTCTCATTGAAAACTATTGCCATGAAGTGACCCATTAAGAGAAGACTTGTGGTTCTTATTTATAGATTCAAGACATAGATTTACAGAGTGAATGTTCTGAGAAGTCCTGCTAGAAGGCAACCCCTTAATCTTCTCTGACCCAGTGCTATTTCCATACATGTTCTCTCACGGAACCTGGCTGTTTTAAGATATTTATTTTTCCACAATACAGCTTGAAACTGTGTGTGTCGGGGTGTGAAGTGGGTGTTATACCTAGAACGGCTTGCCAAGACTGGCTATCCACCCATGAAACCAGCCCTGCTGTTTGCTATGTGTCTATACTCACTAGGATTAGTCACTTCTAGTGTAGCATAAGTACATTGCCTTACGTTGTTTAATTTAAATAAATAAATGTATGTAGTTATAAATTTATTGTTGTAATTCTTGGGATTATTATACGTGTCTGAACATGTCATATATATGTCTGTACGTTTGGTTTACATACTCACAGGTGTATATGCAAGGTCGGGCTACGTATCTAAAGCTCTATTTCCCAGATCAGGGTATAATGAGGCATTATTGGCTACTTAGATAAAAAAAATAAAAAAAATAAAAAATAAAAAAACATGTTACCATTACATGTATTTCAGGGTTTTGAGAATATGAGTGATTTTTCTTCTGTTTGAATTAAAACATCGATAAAGCAAAAAGTAAAGATGCACTAACACGCATTAAGTGTGATAGTGTTCTGCTCATTGTGCAATCGTTTATTTCCTGAATGACAGTGCCACAGTATGTGACTAAATATGAAATTAACCCTTGTGCAGTGGGCTCAGAAGAAGGAATGCAAACGCAATGAAAACACTTTCCCTGATGACAAAAACACAGAGACACACAATAAACATATATCGTCTTGGCATGTACAGAATGATGTTTGAGGCATATCACCCCAGTACATGCTGCTCTGATATAGAACTAGTCAGTGTTTACGTGGCCTGGATTAACCTGACTGACCTTTTCTTTGAATTGTTCACTGCTCTGTGCATCAACAATAAGACTTTTTTAAATGGAAGCCAAAATATTTTTTGACTTAATTTTATAATGGAAAGCACCTTTTAGGTTCTATCTATAATAATAAAAGCAAAATATGCTAATTAGACCAGATGTCCTTCTTGACATCCTTTGGTACAAAGCCAGGGCTGCCAGGGTCCCTGGTGCCATAGGGAAGCCTGTGCTGGCAGCTGGGGGAAGGAAGGCCTACTCTTGCACGAATTTCGTGCATCAGGCCTCTACTATTTAATAATGCTTCTTTGGTCTAAAGCCTCCCCTTGAAAATTTCTGTGAATAATTTTTGACATTTCTAATGTTGCCACAGAAGACAGGGCACCTGAATGTCCATTCCTAGTTGGGAAAGCTACATCAACATGGACAGAGAGAAATAATGAGAGGATTCTTTGGAGGGGCTTGAACCCTTTGGATACACCCTAACTATAGGCTCTGCATGGAGTATTCAGTCTCAGGGGACCCCAGATTTCCATGGTTGGGCATGTTTTTACAGATGTTGCATCCTTCCTATAGAAACAGCTTGTGGGGTGGTAGTCCATTTAACCAGCCTACCCTCCTCGCATCAGGACACACATGCAGCATTGTTCTTACTGTGGTTTTATTTAATTTCCCTACATTATTGAGGGGAAATGACTTGTGCTGCCAGCAATGTTAAGTTTCATGTGCGATGAACTAGCCTGCCTAGCGTACCTGTCCGTTGATGGAGCCGCACAGAGCTAAAGGAACTCAGGAGGATACTGCATTGCTGGGAGGAACAAGAAACTCATTCTGATTTACAAACTGAATAAGTGAGACACAGAGGTCGCAGGATAAGGGCATCTATGCATCATCAAGACCTTGTTTTTTCCCCCAGAAGGACATTTTAGCATTTTCTTTCTCCAGCTGGTTTCACCTTTCACCATGTGTTATATCAGCCTCTTCCTCTCCACAAAAGTAGGAGGTGGGCTCATGCCCAAAAAGAAATGCCTCAGGGCTAATTCTTAATTCTTTTCAGCTTTCCACTGATACATCTCGTTTTTCAGCCAATTAAAAGATTATTAGGAAATGGCCCTGTGAAGGTATGAAAAAAAAATTAGGGCAAAATTATATTCATTTATGATGGAGCCTAAAATTTCTAAGAGAGATTATTTTTATCCAGTTCATTATGGGGGACAATTCATCACCAACTTCTTTAAAAACCAAGATGAGTTCTATGGTTACTTTGAAGATATATTAATGTGGTTTTATATGATTTCTGAAAGGTATTTTAGAACTCGTTGCTTCCATATCCATTTCCATCAACCGGCTTTGATTTCTTTGTGCAAATATCTAGGCCAAGGCTCTTTGAGAATACAAAAAGAAAAAAGACAAAACTAAACAGATAATCAATAGAAGAACTCCAACACTGAATTACTTTCAAAGTGAGCTATGCATGCATTTCCTATTAGGACAATGATGGCATCCATCTCACCCTGATCTTTTTCTCTTTATTTGGAGGATAAGAAAGGCCACCAAATTAAGGCTTAGCATTTATACAAAAAAAAAAAAAAAAAAAAAAAGTCATCATAGATGGTTTTAGATTTTATATCAGAGATAGAAGAAGCTCAGCCTTGCAAATTAATGATGGCAGAGTTCTTGGGTAAGAGAATCAAGAATAGTAATGGGGCCTTTGTCAGTTTTGCTCAGTGGGTAGAGCACCAGCCTGTGGACTGAAAGATCCTGGGTTCGATTCTGGTCAAGGGCATAGGCATATACCTCCTCAGTTGCAGGCTCAATCTCCTGTCCTGGTCAGGGAACTGTGGGAGGCAACCATTGATGTGTCTCTCTCATTTCAACGTTTCTCTCAGTCTCTGTCTCTCTCTTCCTCCCACTCTTTCTAAAAATCAATGGGAAAGATATCCTTGGGTAACGACTAACCAACAAAAACAAACAAAAAGAATAGTAATGGGCGTTGAGTCACACGGAAGTTCATGTATAAACTCACAGAACATCTTGTTAATAGAAATCACACCGAGTGGGTCAGTCTCTTAGCGCTGCTCTTGTTTGTTTCGCCCACAGAGCTACAGCGAACCTGTTGATGTGAAGACCTCTCAGCCGCCTCAGCTGATCAGTTCAAAGCCGTCAGTGTTCCACGGGCCCAGCCAGGCCCACTCAGCTCTGTACCTAAGTTCCCACTATCACCAACAACCAGGGATGAACCCTCACCTAACTGCCATGCACCCCAGTCTCCCCAGGAGCATAGCCCCCAAGCCGAACAACCAAATGCCAGTGACTGTGTCTATAGCGAACATGGCCGTGTCCCCCCCTCCTCCCCTCCAAATCAGCCCACCTCTTCACCAGCATCTCAACATGCAGCAGCACCAGCCACTCAGCATGCAGCAGCCCCTTGGGAACCAGCTCCCCATGCAGGTCCAGTCTGCCTTACACTCACCCACCATGCAGCAGGTACGTGCTCGCACTGTGGACTCCTCTTCAGAAGTGCTGGGGGAGGGGGAGAGAGGGTTTGTTCCTCCAGTCAAGGAGGGGGATATGTGTTTTCTATTTAAATGGAGAGAGAATTGAAGATATTCAACAAATATCTGCTTTCTGAAAAATATCATTTACAGGTGGCGAGTACAGGCAGCATTATACAATCACGATAATTGATGGCTGCTGCTTTTCATAATCACCGGTTTCCTTCTCATGGTGTCCATTTTGCTTCACCCTTCTAATCGCCCTTGTTTTCTGCTTGAGTAAAGTACATTTGCTGTTTTGAGATGCCAACTGCTGCTAAAGATCTCTTTAGGACTGAGACCTCTATACGGTTTTTTAGAATATTGTTCAGCTCTAAGGAACTCCTGGTAGGCATGATTGCTGAATCCAATAAATGCAGAAAAATGAAATCAGGCCCACTGTTTCTGGCCTGAAATATCAATGGGTACAACTTTAAACGGGCTAAGAAGTGAACGTTTAACCAGTTTTATTTTAAAATGGATACCTGGCTTCTGCATATATTAGCAAATGTAAGAGCTTTGGAAAGCTCCCTGCTCACGCTGCAATTATTGAAACCATTTGTGTGCAACCTTAGCTTTTCTTTGAAATTAAGTTTTCCTTTGGGGTTTGGTTTTATTTTAAAATTTGAAAATGAGCAACTGGTGTAAACTAAACTGGGCATAAAGCATTTAAAAATCATAAAAACTTGTTTTAAAATATAGGTCAAGATGAAACCTACAAATGCTATCAGGTGTATCTCACAGTTATAAATGACTCTACTGTTTCCAGAGTCAGAGTTAAATATCCAAACATAGCCTTCCTATAGAATTGATATCTAGCCCAGCCAGTGTTGCTCAGCAATTGAGCATCAACCTATGAATCAGGAGGTCATGGTTTGATTTCCTGGTCAGGCACATACCCAGGTCATGGGCTCCATCCCCAGTAAGGGGCACACAGGAGGCAGCCGATCAATGATTCTCTCTCATCATTGGTGTTTCTATCTCTCTCTTCCTCTCCCTTTCTCTCTAAAATCAATAAAAAACATAGGTTATTTTTTTTTTTAAGAATCGATATCTAGGCCTCTGTGGAATTTGAGTCTATAGTTGTATTGTTAGTGGAAATGGGGTCCTTTTATGGAGTCCCAAGAAAAGCATTTTTAGGGCTCTTATATGTGATAAAGTGTAGTGGTAAGATTTATTGGGATGGAAATATAAGACTGTTCCCAGGTTCCAGTGTCTTATTTCCATTCATCATGCTGTGGAAAAAGTTGAGTCATGTCTTCATTAAGTCTAGAACAGTGGTCAGCAAACTGCAGCTCACTAACCACATGAGGCTCTTTGGCTCCTTGAATGTGGCTCTTCCGCAAAATACCATGTGCGGGTGCGCATGTACAGTAAAATTGAAACTTTGTGGCCCACGTGCAGAAGTCAGTTTTCAGCTCTCAAAAGAAATTTCAATAGTTGTTCTGTTGATATTTGGCTCTGTTGACCAATGAGTTTACAGACCACTGGTCTAGAATTAGAAAGTCTATTAATGGTTCATGTCAAAGTTGAGTCCAGTTAAGTCTCTGTTTCCGTTTGGGTAGGTTAGTCTCTGTTTTTTGCTGGCTCTGGTGTTGTGTTGTTGTACCCAGGCTTGCATTTGGGTCCCCGGGGCTGCTGGGCCTGCATGGGGAGCCCCACTCAAAGTTCTCATTTCAGCTGGAGAGGCTGCTAGGCCCTCAACGCTGTTAGAGGGAATGTGCAACCAATTAATGTGTGTTATACAGAGAGAAAGACCTTTATTACATTTTGATTATATTATTTTGGACTTTAAGTCAATCAATTTTTCTTTTCATGGGCTTGTGTTAGGCCCTTTTCCTACTCAATTTATTTTTTCAATCGTTGAAGGCTTGTGTTGGGCCCTCCCCCTACCCAGTTCAGTCTTCTTTTTAGATTAGGCATTTCCCCTTTGGCTTCTGTGATGCATGTATTTCTTTTTTTTTCTGTGTCATTTTTGGCTTCTACTGGGCATGCACCCAGTACAGGAATTTTTCATTGGACTATGAGGATGGAGAGGAAGCAGAAAGAGGAATTAAATATAAATACTCTCAAATTCATTTTTATCATTGTATTTATAGGCAGAATTTCTGAGAGCTGACAATAGCAAATCTCAGTATATTACCTTATCTTCTCCTTGATTCCAGAAAATTTATAATGTGGGCACTGTTAGCATTATCTTCATTTTACAGGTGAGGAAACTCAGGTTGGCAGAGTTGAATAATGTGCTCATAGGTCAGAGCATACTACAGTCTATTCAGAAATCAAAGCCTGGATTCTTAAATGCTAGACCAGCTGCCTCTCGCTTTTAATCATCCTTACAGACTATTTCCAGTGTTGCCCTAGAAAATCTGTGTCTTATTAGAATTTGGAGAGTCTTTACATTCTAATTAGTTTTAAGATCAGCATGATTATGGAGCGCATAGCTGACGTCTTTCTTGGTCTCTAAGCCAAGGAGATTGATAAAACTCTGACAACTTACTTAGCTAAGCTCAACAAACTAGTTGTTGACTCACTAGGGAAGAAGACTCAGGAATGCCAACTTCCACCACTTGCCTTGTCCACATTGGAATTTGTGGTCAGCAACTGATGCTCATAGGGTCAAATTTCCAGTCTTTCCATCAGACATCACTCACAATATCAGGGATCCTTCTGGGTGTCCTTGCATTTTAATAAGCCAGTAGTGTTTCTGTGAAGGATTAATAGTCTAAAAGACACAACCTTCAGTTGCATGGGCTGAATCCTGCCTAAGGGCACTTGCTGCCAGCTCCGGGCCCATGCTTTGCTCATGGTACTGTACTACAGGGCAATTTCTTCTCAGAGGAAAGAATATGGAAGTCACAATCTCCTCAACAAGTTGAGGACTAGAGCTCTGTCCAGAAAGGACACCTTTTTTTCCTAATGTATCCAATGAGAAATGGTTCCTTTTTTATATATGCACTAATACCTTAGGTGAGTTGGTCATGACCCTGACTAATTTTTAATATTTCAGAATTATGTAAGGCCACATGTGAAAACTCAAGAGGTCTGAATAGGAAAAAAATAGAATGAATCACATTGGGGTAGGTTATTCATCAATCTGTAAGTCAGTTCTATTAGTGGATCCTTACCGAAGTGGTAAGACCTGATTTCAATTTACATGAGTTACAGAAGACAAAATAGCATGGGCCCAATGTGGAGACCCAAAGATTGCAGTAACTAGCATCACTTTTTACAATTCTAAAAGTGTTTAAACATTAGAAGAAATTACAGGGTAGTTTGCAGAACCTTAATTCCCTGAAAGTTTTTTTTTAATTTATTTTTCTGGAAGTTTATAAAGCTTTTATTTATTCCAAAAAGATTAATAGAACCCCTACTGTGTGCCAGACACTGCCTAGGCTCTGGAAATTATTCAATGAGAACAGGTAATGAGCTCACATCAGAGTTGGATGAGTAGCGGGGGGGTAATAACATCAACAGGTAAATTAGTAAAGTCTCATGGGGGGAAAAAATAATAGAGGAGGACAAACTGCAGGGTTCCTGCAGGGAGGGCAGAGCCTTTGGCTGGAATGCATAAGGAAGGTCCCATCCAGGGCTGACACAGACACCTGACGATCCTGGGAGGTGGGAAGGGTGTGGGAGGAAAGCCAGGAGAACAGGAAGGAGAAGAGGTTCCAGACTGGAAGGATCATGCTGGGGAGGAGGGTGGCTGGTCCAGGACATGGAAAGATGGCCAGTGGAGAGCCCGGTGAACAAAGGGAGAATGATGGGATTGAGATCCGACTCATGGGCAGGTCATCAGAATTCGGTCCTCTAAGTGAAAGGACAGGCCTCCCCAACAAATTATTCATCCTCAAATCAGGATCAGGGAGTCCATTAGCCCTTGATGTCACTCAATTCATTACCATCACAACAGGGTTTAGGGGCCAGTGTCCACGTCATCCACGTTGGTCCTTAGCCTGTGGTCACAGAGCCAGATTATGGATGTAATTACACCTGTTCGAGGCATCCACTGAAGTACCTTTTTATCCTAAAGATGTTTGCTTCCTGGGCATGGGGCCCATGCTCACATATTCAAACATCAAAGGAAAAAAGAAAAAGAGAAAGTTAGAGAAAACTACTGTATTTTTTAAATAATGGCTCACATTTCAGTATTACTTTAGCTATTTTATTATCCTTTTGAAAACAAATACATCCTACAGAATGATTGCATAGTCCACCAGGAATAATGGTTTCTTTCTTTTTTTTTTTCTAGAGAAATATTTTTATACACTAAATCCATAGACCAGCTTGTTTTGGTTCAGTTTTCTTCCTTTTTTTTTTTTTTTTTTTTTTTTTTTTTTTTTTTTTTTTTTTTTTTTTTTTTTTTTGTTGTTGTTGTTGTTCACTATAATGTCGAATGAGGTCAAGAAAAAAAAAATCATTAATATCTGTCAACTTCCTTTATAACCTTAAGAAAATAATCTTTGTGTGATATCACACAGACAGATTTTCAATTTCCTTGTGTAATAAACAGCTTCTTTAGGATTTGAGTGTAATTTAAAGGTTTTAAAAAAAATCACATTGAGATTGATGAATAAATCAGTTGTGAAGACAAACACATTGATGCCTGGTGAAAATACCTCTCCAGACAGGCAGGAAATGAAATTAGTTCCCAGTAAAGTGTGGATATGAGGATCAGTGTTTGGTTGTGCTGCAGGCTCTGTAGGACTTGCTATGGTGGCACAACAAAACTGCGAGGGCTACAGAAATCTAATTAAAGAGCAAATGTCCCTTCTGACATCAAATTAATCTTTATCATGTTTCCTATTTTTATTTCAATCTGGCACCAGAAAATGAAATTTAGAATTCCAGGCATGCTACAAAACAGTTGGTGATTTTTCTCTTGAGCATTAAAATGCAAACTATTCAGTCTTGTTTAATTAGACTGCTAAGCCAACATTTTTCAAAAATTTATATCATCATTGTTGTTTCATATTTACATCAATAATAAAAATGTTCTTAGCTCTACGTCTGACCTCAGCAGCTCTGTATATAGTGTTCAGGAGAATGTTTCTTTCTTTCTTTTTTAATTTGAAAGCAAGTAAAATTATTTACTTCAGGTTTTGCTTTCATTTTTCTTGGCCCTCTCTTGTTTTCATATTAAAGATCTTAATTTGAAGCACTGGAAGTTAGCTGAATTTTAAAATCTTTGAACTTGGTAGGTAGCACATGATTTTGGTTTTGTTTTATTTTTTTATTGACTTTTAGAGAGAGGAAGGGAGAAAGAAAGAGAGAGAGAGATTGATTTTGTTGTTCCACCCATTTATGCATCCATTGGTTGCTTCCTGTACGTGGCCTGACCAGGGATCCAACTCACAACCTTGGCATATCAAGATAACACTCTAACCAACTGGGCTAATTTGGGTTTTATAAACTGAAACTGCCCATTTACTCTTACACTAATAACTTAAAAATTAACGTTCTCCAGATGTTCTCTTCCCAACTATTTTCATTGGTTGGGTTAAGGGGGAAGAGGGGGCGGAGCAATGGTAGTTTCTGTTGTTGATAGGGTGGGGTTAGGTGGAAGTGGTTTGGTTTGTTTTTATGTATTTTTTTTGTATGTCCCCATACTTTTAACTAATTCAAGATATTTTTCAACTGCTCTTGTTTTTGAGATCCATTTACTTTTAGGTTACATTTTGTTGATTGTGTTAAAATCCAATATGGAGAATTTTTCATCAAAAGATAGGAAAGCCCTGACATTTACTTATCTGTACTCCCCATGCCTTTCCAACAGTAACTTTGAATGTTCTGTGTTAAACGGCATTCATTGGAAGACATTGTTTATTGAGGCACTACTATGGGGTGCTCCCTGCGAATATCCAGTGACCAAGGCAAGCACTTTGAATCTCAAGTCCCTCTGGCAAGCCCCTGAGACAGGGGCTGAAATGGAAGTTAACAGGAGGTCATTCTTAGAGTTTTTTGCTGCTGTGTGCCCAGCATCACACTAGACACTAAGAGAAAAAGTCAAGAAAACTGGACAGTGGGTCCATCAAGACAACAGTATAGGACCATAATGAAATGAGGACACTCCACAGAAGCCAGACAGATGGGGGAGGGTTCTGGAGAGAGAGAGGAAGGACTTAGGGCCCACAGCCAGTACTACCTCTTACTTCTCATCTTGTTCTTTTGGGAAATGCTTATAGCTTGAGCTGCAAATGGTGTCTACATAAACAAACGTATTTCCCATAAACCAGCTGTTAGTTTAGGAAACGTTCTATTCCCTCTAGTCTGTGTGAGGTCAAATAACCAGGCTGGCTGAATTCTCTTTGTCTTTCATCCACAGCTTTGGTAGGAGTTAGTGTGAACATTGGCTTGAAGTCTTTATCACTTAAACAGAAAATAAATGAGTGTCTTAAAGCCAACATAAAGAATTGAGGACATTTGGTGATAGGTGTCTTTGAGCAGAAGAGGACATTGAATGTGCCAATGAACATACATGGATAAAAGTCTAAGGAAATATCTTGAGTGAAAGGTTAATTCTCTGACCATTCTGCTAAGTTAAAAAAAAAAAAAGTTAAGAACTCAACAATAATTATGCCTTTTAAAGCTCTCTGCAACTAAATGGAGCGTGGTCGTTTTAAAATATCTTGATTTTTTTTTCCATTGGTTAAAAACCATATATGAAATAGGCTGTAGAAAGAGAAGACCACAAGATTAATTAAGTTGCTTTTTTTGGTCCTTTCCAGCAAAGCTTGCTTATGCTGCTCTTGAATTCACCAGATAAGCTAAAAATAAATTGTAGTGTATAATGCTTTTTATTTACCAGGTATAAATATATTCTTCAGAGATTCTGTCCTTGAATTTTTAATAGCTTTGCAAGGATTAAAAGTCAATACTTCACCACACCAGTGTATTAAAAGAATCTTCCTGAAGTCTGATCATTGTTTGCCAGTTAATAGACTTTTCAATTAAAATTATTTGCTCTGTCTTACACTTTTCTTTCTCTGTGTTTTCCAATGGCACGTTGTTTTGAATCTTCCCTATATTAGTCCAACAACTGTTAAAAAGCTTTGGTTGAAATTTTTTAGCTGAGAGGGGGAAAAAAAGTACAAATAAAAGAAGAGGCAGATGGTCCCTTTGTGAATGAATGAAGAAAAAGGGTTTTGAGAACAATATATGAATAGGTGTAGTCTAATAAAACACTCAGCCACCTGCTGCCTAAATCCTTCAAAAAAAGATTCTGTTGCATATTCTGGGAGTTAACTATTCATGTATCCTTCAGTTTGATAGAAAATAAAAACTTTGAGAGGTGTGAGCCCTTTGTTTTGGACTGAATTAGCTTCTCTAGATTTTTAAATTGTTTTTATTTATTTTTTTTTTAATTCCAATTTATCTGCCCAAGAGTGTAATGAAAGGTTTTCTAACATGGTTCAATGAAGGAAAGATACGAATGAGGATGCAGGCATTTCTTTTCTACCTTTGTATTAAGTTTCTCTGTGCCCTTCGCATAAACTTGCCCTTGCAGAGAGATACAAGCAGGAAGGCCGCGATGTGTTTGCAAACAGTGGATAAATATTTAGGTGCATTTCTTCTTTAGAAAGGCACTTGGATCCTTATTGGTGGCCTGCTTTCCCTTTCAGGGATTTACCCTTCCGCCGGACTATCAGACTATAATCAACCCTACATCCACAGCTGCACAAGTGGTCACCCAAGCAATGGAGTATGTGCGTTCTGGGTGCAGAAACCCTGCCGCCCAGCCGGTGGACTGGAATAACGACTACTGCAGTAGTGGGTAAGTGGCCACTCACCGCCACCTGGTGGTGGGCAGCTCTCCTAGCATGCCCAGCGTGGCCCTATCTTTTCTTGCTGCTGTCTAAAAGATTATCTGCATAACGCTTATTGCTTGTCTCATTTTTTATTCTTATAAGTATATTTCCAGTAGGACATGATCTCACTCATCTAGGGGAAATGGCGAACAACATAGACTGATGAATAAAAACAGACCCAGAGATAAGGAGCCATGGGTCAGACTGTTGGACCTCAAAGAGAGGGTGGGGATAAAAGGGAGAGATCAACCAAAGGACTTGTGTGCATACCTAGGAGCCTAACCAGTAGTCAAGGACAATAACTGAGTGGGGAGGGGGGAGATTGGAATGGGGGGGTTGAGGACAAATATGTGATACCTTAATAAAGAAATTAATAATAATAATAATAATAATAATAATTATTATTATTATTATTATTATTATTATTATCTGGAATGGTCTCGCATTCCTGAAAGCAGAAGACATTTTCGGAAAGCTCCAGAAATGTGTAAGCACTCTACTACTAGCTGTACCGAGAACTGCCTTGAGATCCCTGTTCACTGTAGTTGCAGGTGTAGGCTAACTAACAGTGCACGTTTCCAGGACACACTTCCTCATCCTTCAAGCTACAGCAAATAAGCGTGCAGGCCCCCAGGCCCCCTATAGCGTGCCCCTTGTGTGTGTAACAAGCCCTTCTGTTTCCTCTCCCTCCAGGGGCATGCAGCGGGACAAAGCGTTGTACCTTACCTGAGAATCTGAACGCCTCTTCTGTCCACTGAGGAATTCAGGGAAGTCTCCGCCGTGGATTGCTTTGTACAGTCAAGGCAATTCTCCATTTTAGTAGAAAAAAAAAAAAGTACAAGTTGCTAAGCACTTAGGACCATTTGAGCTTGTGGGTCAACCCCACTCTGGAAGACATAGTCATGCTTCTTTATTATTTTTTTAATCCTTTATGGACATTGTTTTTCTTCTTCCCTGAAGGAAATTTGGACCATTCAGATTTTATGTTGTTGTTTTTTTTATTTTATTTTTTTGCTGTGAAGTGCTGCGCTATAGTAACTGCCTTAGCAACTGTAGATGTCTTGGATAAAAGTCCTGGATTTTCCATTGGTTTTCATAATGGGTGTTTATATGAAACTACTAAAGACTTTTTAAATGGCTTGATGTAGCAGTCATAGCAACTTTGTAAATAGCATCTATGTCACACTCTCCTAGAGTATAAAATGTGAATGTTTTTGTAGCTAAATTGTAATTTGAAACTGGCTCATTCCAGTTTATTGATTTCACAATAGGGGTTAAATTGGCAAACATTCATATTTTTACTTCATTTTTAAAACAACTGACTAATAGTTCTATATTTTCAAAATATTTGAGAAAAAAAAAACAACGTATTCCCAAATGATTTTAATTTAAAAACAAATTGGCTTTGTCTCATTGATCAGACAAAAAAGAAGCTAGTGTTAAGGGAAGCGCAAACACATTTATTTTGTACTGCAGAAGAATTGCTTTTTGTATCACTTTTTGTGTAATGGTTAGTAAATGTCATTTAAGTCCTTTTATGTATAAAAACTGCCAAATGCTTACCTGGTATTTTATTAGATGCACAAACAGATTGGAAACAGCTAAATTATAACTCTTACATATGGCTCTGTATTATTGTTTCTCCATACTGTGTCTGTATTTAATCTTTTTTATGGAACCTGTTGCGCCTATTTATGAAATAATAAATATAGGTGTTTGTAAGTAAATTTGTTAGTATTTGAAAGAGGTTTCTTTGATGTTTTAAATTTTGCTGGCAAAAAAAAAAAAAAATTCACGCTTGGTGTGAATACTTTATTATTTAGTTTTTACGGTGACATGAAAAAAAGCCAAAACTACTTTTCGTTTAGCAACAAGTCAAAGTAACTAATCCTTATTTTTACATTTTGTTGGTTGATGCAAATGAAAAACTACGATATTTAAGAACTTTCTTTCTTTGTACAAATTAATGGAGAAATTGCCCTACACGTCACACGAGCTTCAAGACCAAACGACAGGTACTTGATCTGAAAGAGTTGACTCTTGGTTCTCAGCTGGTTATGGTCAATTCTGTAAATTCCCCTCCTCCAAAAAGAATTTATAAAAATTAAAGTCGAATCAACCAAAATTCCTCAAGCTGCATGCTTTTCACAAAATCCAGGGAAACATTTAGGAATTGAGCCAGGGGTGAGAGAAAGGGAGGGAAGGCATACCGTCAAGAATATATCTGAAAATGAAAGGTGAGTAATCAGACAGCAAAAATAAAAAAGGGGGGGTGGGGGGGAGAGAAGGGAGTGGACATCAAATTTGAAAGCTACTGACAGAAATTGAGGTTCTAACTGTCTTTTGTGCCTCTACAAGCTACTTGTCTTTCCAGAATTCCTGGGTCTTCTGAAGGAATTCTGAGGGTACTAGCGATTTGCTAGAAAACCAAAAACATTGAGAATCTGGCTGAAGGTTTGCAGAGCTTTTATATCAGAAAGAGCTAGCAAATCAGTCCCTTACAGGGGATTGTGTTTTTAAAAGCCAGTCTGGTTGGAAATCAAGAGGATGGCTGATGTTTCTTTCATGAAATGTGTGAACTAAACGATTTAACTAAATTCAAATATATGCATTGTGTAATCCAGTCAGAGTTTTAAAAAAAAAAAAGACAAAAGGTATGCTTGCTTTGGAATGATTTTAGGCATTGTACAACCTTGAATCACTTGAGCATGTAATAACTAATAAATAATGCAGATCCAGTGTGATTATTAAAATGACTGTAGCTGAGAGCTCTAATTTTCCTGTCTTGAGACTGTATAAGAACTCATGTGATTAAGTTCACAGTTTATTGTTTGTCTGTTTAGTATTTCAGAAATATACCAGCACCACTAATTACCTAATGTCTTCTATTTATTATATTACAAGAAAGTGGAATCTTTGCTTGCAGTAAGTCTAAACGGAGGAGGTAATTACTGGGATGAGAACAGCAAGCTTTGACTGTGACAGGTGGTTTGTACAGGGAAGTACGATGTTGTTTACACTTTACAGCATTTCTAGAACAGGTGTGCAGCCAGGGTAAGAGAGAGTGTTCATACTTCATACCAAAAAAAAAAAAATGTAAATAAAAGGAAGTACATCATAAATAAAAATCCTTGCCATGTGTGACCGAATTCTATCTGGATATCCATCAGTCTCTAAAGGACAGACCCAGCAGAGGAGACATCGCCAATACACTTGGTGGCAGAAGCGATCAGGCACAACAAGGGTTCACGGGCTCCACGGTCACAGATGGTCCTTCCTGAAGCACCAGTACTGTCCTCTCAGCAGCCTGGTACGGTGACGTGTGGCCTGAGAAACGCTCCACTTTAGAAAGGAAGCCAGTTTGTAGCTTGAAACTCAGAGGAATGGGGACGGGGTGCCCTGGAGTACTCTCACCACAGGACCTTAAATAAGCCATTCTGGGAAGTTCAGCAATAATACTGAACATAAACTATCTTTACGAACCCAACAAAACCAAAACCGTAACTCACTTGAAGAAAGAAAACTATGCATGAGGATAGGGAAGAGAGGGTTGAATTGTGTCCCTATACCATGCACAGGAAAGAATAATCCAAAAGCCCAGTGCCCATTCAAATGGGAACAAGCTGACACTGGAAAATTAGTCAATGACTTCTAGTGAAACCAAGTTAGTGGAAGTAGCTAAGGACAAAAGCTGGTTTCTGTGATAGTGTTCAACTTGTTGCCTTAAAGGAAAAGAGTCCTGTCTGAATGGGGCACAAGCAAGCCATCAAAAGCCATAGCTACAAAAGCCACAACTACAAAGAACAGAATAATAATGGGATTCATGGCTAAGAGATAGCTTTAACTTGTACCTTTAAAATTTAAAAATAAGCCCAGGAACACCAATTTTCTTTTTTCATGGACCACTCGCCTTTTGCAAAAAAGTTGCCCCTCTCCCATTTGAAAGCTGATTCGATGGAGCCATATGAGATTGCCTGTGTTTGTCTCTCGTGCATATAAACATGACAAAATCCTAGGAGAAAACAGTGAAAAAAAGAAGTAATCTGTTATGTTTGCTGACAAGGTGAACCCACCTCAAATCAATCCAAACGTTTACATTAAATCAAACAAAGAATATTTTAAATCACCAGATACAGTAAATCCCAATAAACATTCCTATTTCTTTGTTATAGCAAAATATATATATATATATATATATTATGTGGAAATTTGTAATAAATAGGCTCTCTGCTAGAACATGAAAGAGTTTGTCACTCACAGATGTTCTCTTAATGTTCTTAAGGGGGATTTGATCTGCATTTTCTTATTTCCATTCATAATTCTCACTTTAAGGTAATGATAGAAACAGAGGCATTCATCTCTTTTGTTGATCGGACATTGAAATAGCGGTGAGCCAAAGTGCAGAATTCACATCATAAATTTTAACCTAAAATACATGTCATACTGAGTCCCCTAGTGGGTGAATTCATGTGAGCCATCCAACAGTCCCAACTCTTTGTTTCCCTAAAACAGGATCATGTCTGTACCTCAAAGCAATTGGAAATGCCATAGCACATAGGAGGCACACAATAAATGCAATGATATCTAGACGGATCAATGACACATCACAGATGATCCTCAATAGGAGCTGTGTGCTGTTCCTTTGGTGATTTAAAAACCCTTTCAATCCGAAAAGAAATTAAATATTGCCAACGAGCATTGGGAGGTGAAGAAGAATGGAAATTTTCATGAAGAAATCTAAGGTTACAAAAGAGATTGAAGAAAAAAAAAAAGAATTTCAAAATGAGTTGGGCCCTATTTTTTTCGGTCTACATAACTGAACAAGGGTTTCGAGTTACAAAGCAGAAGCTGTAATACCCACTAGTCACATCGAGAAAGTCAGAAGCCAAGGAGAGAAAGGGTGCTAGACAAGTGGGAGGGTGGAGCGCAGAGAGAAATCTCAGGAGGCGAGTGTGTGGATTGCTAAATCAAACCCTGCTGAGCAGGATGCTGACTTATTTTACTTGTTTTCTGTAATTGCCACGTGTTAGTGTGATTTGGCGAAACGGAGTAAATAAATAAGACCCCATTCCCTGGACTTGATCTAACTGACACCAGGATAAGAAGTCATGGCCCTATTTTCTAAGATTCTCGAACATTTCCCCGGGTTTATGGAAACCAGGTTCCAGAACAGAAGAGAGACGAAGTTCCCAGACCCTTTCACAAGCCTTGCAGGGGGCAGGGGTAACTCCGGGACCAGCTCTCACACACTTGCCAATCCGTGTGTGTCCAGACAGGAGACTTTGCCTTCCACTTTCTCACTCAGTCAACATCTCCAGGGCCAGATAACACTGTAACCTCGTAACTGGGAAGAAAAAGTGAGGATGGAGTTCTGGTTCCAGGCTAGCAGGGAGCTGAGAACAATGACATGTCCTATGAAAGGGACCCTCCCCCCCTCCTGCCCCCCAGTACTGTCATAATTTCACATTTTTTGTTAGCAGCTTGTTAGCAAAGACGTTTGAAAGTGACATTTCATCCACACTGACATGAGACCAGAAAACAAAACAAAAAGTGACTGGGAAATAAAATAGAAAGACTTTCAATCCTATAGAAAAAGAAGGAAAAAAATTTTCTAAAAGAAGACTATGAACCAAAGTACAGTGTTTTAAAGGCTGCAGCGTCCCTGTTTGACAATTGTGTGTTTACAATAAGCCTAAACATAATTGCTCTGATGGGCTGTCAGGGAAAAGATTAATTTGGCAAAGATTAGTATTGACTTGCTGTTTATTAAGGCTTTTAAACAGCTGTATCTGGCAGCATTCCTGTAAGTGCCTGTCATATCTGAAAATCAGCCTTACACCCTGGTGCTCGCCAGCTGTTACTAAACAATCTTCTACCACTCTGAATGCCTTTCTCCAGGCCAAACAGCCAGCGCCAACTATTGCCAAATGAGCCTTTTTCTCCTCCTGTCATTTTTTTTTTTTTTTTTTTTTTTTTTTTTTTTTTTTTTTAGTTGGGGGTAGGGAGCTTCTGAACACTGAAATGTCAGCTCCTGGCCGATGGCTTAGCTGATAAGAGGTGCCGGAAGTCCGTGGGTGTTTGGGGTGCTAGCAGAATACCTTCCCCCCACAGAGAAGGGGAGTGCTGTTAGTCACTTCGCACAGACCCAAAACCACAGCCTTGCAACAGTTTAGAAAGCAGCGATCAAAGGCTGAGAGCCAGCAGATTTCCAAAACAAATGTTTTGTTTCCCCCAGCCTGGCACATGTCTTACTGGGCCAAGCCATAGCGCTGGGGAAAGACCTCACGGTGGGATGCTGAGGGAAAACTTCACGGTGGCCATGGATCCTGATCCTGCGGACTGAGGTTTCTGTCCAGATGCTGAGAGAGGAGAGACCCCCCTGGGTCACACGTGGCACCTCCCATTTTGATTCCGTGGAAACCCTGTAGAACAAGGCAGGTTTGGGTGTGTTGAAGTCCGTGAGGGAGCGGGCAGACTGAGTCTTGTGCTGGAATAAGACCCAGTGTTTTCAAACCTAAGTACAGTCGTAAAGGCCGTGGAAAGAATAACATTCCAGGGCAGTTTTAAACATGAAGACATAAAGAGCCCGGTGTTGTGGCGCGAGTCACAGGGATCTTTCCAATAGGACTGCCTTTGTGAGGATTAATCTCCATCTCTTCCAGTTGCATCGGGCTGGGATAAGTTGTCAGAGCAGACCTACGAGAACAGTCCTCTCTTAACCCTTTCGTGGCTGGCACTTTCCATTACCTTGTGGGGAAGGAAGGGGGGCCGGAGGGAGGGGAGGAAATTGGCCTAGGAGCTAAGCTTTCTGATAATTATTTAAGGCAGGTGTTTGTCAGTGTTTATCCCCCCAAACTAACTTTTTTTTTTTTTCTGTTGAAAGCTTTATTGTTTCCATTTGGTCCACTGCATGGGAGGGGGGCTTCAGGGTGGTTAAAAGAAGGGCTAGTAGTTTTGGGGAGAGGCTGGAGCGAAAGCCAGACACCAGGGGAATGCAGAGGGGCCCCTCCAAGGCCTCTGGGCTCCACGGGCTCCTAGTTGTGCTGGAGGGTGAGCCTTTCAAGGAGATACTCGCCCTGCCCGGGCAGGCAGCCTGCAGAGGGGAGCCAGGTGTGGCCCATCTTCTTGATGAGTCTCACCTCCTCACCCCGGAAGTGGTTCTCCCGGGAGTCACGGGATGAGGGTCTCGCAGGTAGAACCCAGGGCCTGAGGCTCCCAAAGGGCCTGGTTCGGGTTCCTCTCCAAGGCCCGGGGCGCTTTCAGGGCCCCCTAAGTTTTGCCCACTCACCTTGGGGAGGCCTCAGAGCGCCCTGGAAAGAAGGCAGCCATTCCACTGGCTTTGCAACTTTAAGAGATGCTCAGAGCCCTCATGCTTCTTCTTTGCCAACTCGCAGAAGCAGCGGCCCACACCCTCCATGGTCACATCCTCATGGTGGAAATAGAAGCCGGAGCGAGGTAGGTGTGGGAGCCACAGCTGCAGGCTGGCCAGGCGGTTGACCGCAGCCTCTGCCTCGGTGGAATAGTGCTGACGAATTTGGGAGCTCGTGGTTGTTCGGCAATGAGGAGTTAAGGTAGAAAAAAAACCTGTGTGTTGGCTGGTTCGGAGGTGGTTCTGAAGGTGGTGACTGGATAAGACACAGGAGAGTGGCCCGAGGCTGGGCCTGTTCGGTCCACACACTGTTGAAGCATGAAACAGATCCGGGACCGCTGAGGGCACTGTCCCCAGCTAACTTTTTTTTTTTTAAGTCTTTGGTATTGATGCAGTCTGATGCTTGACAGTTGAATTGAGCTCAAATTCTAAGACATGGACCAACCATCCTGCTCAACCCTGGGAGTCAGACATCCAAGAATTCTATTCCTAACCCTTTCCATGT